GGGAGATTGAATGAGGTAAATTATCCCACAAAGAAGAGGCATGAAAGAGCTATTATAATGGAGGGGAAGATGGGGGAGGCAAAGCTTAAACCTTACTCTTTTCAAAATTGGCTCAAAGAAACTCACACTCAGTTGGTTACAGAAATCTATCTTAACCCTATAAAGAAGTTTAAAAGGACAGGGATAATAGAAGGGGAAGGGGGGATAAAAGGGAGTGTTGGTTGGGGGTTAGCTGTGATCAGAAATAAAAGACTTGTGAGGAAGGAAAAGGTGGGAGGTGGTAAGGGGTGGGGATAAACAAGGAAGAATTAGCTTGGAGGGATATACACAGTTATCGTAACTGTAATTGGCAATGGGATGAACTCATAAAATGAAAGTGGATAGCAGAGTGGATTAAAAACCAGAATCCTACAATGTGTTTACAAGAAACACATCTGAAGCTGAGAGATACACACAGGGTAAAAGGTATGGGACTGGAGCAGAATTTATTATGCTTCACCTGAAGCAAAGAAAGCAGGGGTAGCAATCGTGGTCTCAGATAAAGCCAAAGCAAAAATAGGTCTAATTAAAAGAGATAAAGAAGGAAACTATATCTTGTTGAAAGGTACCATAGATAATGAAGTCATATTAATGCTAAACTTATATGCACCAAGTGGTATAGCATCTAAATTTTTGAAGAAGTTGGATGAGTTACAGGAGGAAATAGATAATAAAACTATACTAGTGGAGGACCTCAACTTTTCCCTCTCAGAATTAGATAAGTCTAACCAAAAAATAAACTAGTTAAGGAAGTAAATAAAATTCTGGAAAAGTTACATATGATAGATCTCTAGAGAAAATTGAATGGAAATAGAAAGGAATATATCTTTTTCTCAGCAGTACATGGCACCTACACAAAAATTAACCATATATTGGGACATAAAAACCTCACAACCAAATGCAGAAAAGCAGAAATAGTAACTTTGTCCTTTTCAGATCATAATGGAATAAAAATTAATTTCAGTAATGGACAATGGAAAGAGAGATTAAAAATTAATTGGAAGTTAATCCTAAAAAATAAGTGGGTCAAAGAACAACTCATAGAAACAATCAATAATTTCGTTAAAGAAAATGACAACAATGAGAGAACATCCTATGCTGCCAAGGCAGTACTTAGGGGAAAATTTATATCTCTAATTGCTTACATCGATAAAATAGAGAAAAAGCAGATCAGTGAATTGGGCATGCAACTAAAAAAACTAGAAAAAGAACAAATTAAAAATCCCCAATTAAAGAACAAATTGGCAATCCTGAAAATCAACAGAGATTGATAAAATTGAAAGTAAGAAAACCATTGAACTAATAAATAAAACTAGAAGCTTGTTTTATGAAAAAACTAATGAAATGCATAAACCATTAGCTAATTTGATTTTAAAAAGGAAAGACAACCAAATTACTAGTATCAAAAATGAAAGGGTGAACTCACCACCATTGAAGAGGAAATTAAAACAATTGTTAGGAGCTACTTTGCCCAATTATATGCCAATAAATTTGACAATCTAAATGAAATCAATGAATATCTAGAAAAATATAAATTACCCAGATTAACAGAAGAAATAAAACACTTAACCCAGTCTTAGAAAAAGAAATTGGACAAGCCATCAGAGAACTTACTAAGAAAAAATCTGCAGGACCAGATGAATTCACAAACAAATTCTACTAAACATTTAAAGAACATTTAATCCTATAAAGAACATATAATACTATATAAACTATTTGGAAAAACAGGTGAAGGAGGAGTCCTACCACATTCCCTTTATGACACAAATATGGTGCTGATACTTAAACCAGGAAGAGCCAAAACAGAGAAAGAAAATTATAGACCAATTTTCTTGATGAATATAGATGCAAAAATTTTGAACAAAATACTGGCAAAAAGATTACAGCAGTATATCATATCACACTGTATACTAAAATAAAGTCAAAGTGGGTACATCATTTACACATAAAGGGTGATACCATAAGCAAATTAACATAGCATGGAGTAGTTTATCTGTCAAATTTATGGATAAGGGAAGAATTTAGGGCCAAAGAAGATAAAGAGAGCATTACAAAATGTAAAATAGATAATTTTGATTATATAAAATTTAAAAGTATTTGCACAAACAAAACCAATGCAATCAAAATGATAAGGAAAGCAGAAAACTGGGGGGAAATTTGCACAAATATCTCTGATAAAGACCTCACTTCTCAAATATAGAGAACTGAGTCAAATTTATAAAAATACAAGCCATTGCCCAATTGATAAATGGTCAAAAGATATGAACAGGCAGTTTTTCAGACAAATCAACGCTATCTATAGTCACATAAAAGTGCTCTAAATCACTATTGATTAGAGAAATGAAAATTAAAACTGCTCTGAGGTGCCACCTCACACCTATTAGATTGGCTAATATGACAAAAAAGGAAATTATTGGATACTGGAGGGGATGTGGGAAAACTGGGATACTAATGCACTGTTGGTGAAGTTGTGAACTAATCAACCATTCTGGAGAGCAATTTGGAACTATGCCCAAGGGGCTATGCAACTGTGCATACCCTTTGACCCAGTAATAATCCCAAAGACATCCAAAAAAAGGGGGAAAGGACCTATTTGTACAAAAATATTTATAGCAGCTCTTTTGGTGGAGGCTAAGAGTTGGAAATCGAAGGAATGCCCATCAGTTGGGGAATGGCTAAACAAGCTGTGGTATATGATTGTAATGGAATATTTTTGTGCTATAAGAAATGATGAGCAGGATGATTTCAGAAAAACTGGAAAGACTTACATGAACTGATGCAGAGTAAAGTGAAGAGAACCAGGAGACTATTATACACAGTAACAACAACATTGTCTGATGAAGAACTGTGAATGACTTAACTATTCTCAGCAATACAGTGATCAAAGATAATCCCAAAGGACTAATGATGAAGCGTACTATCTGCCTCCAGAGAAAGAGCTTATGTTGTTTGAATATAGACTGAAGCATGCTATTTTTCACTTTCATTTTTTTCTTTTATTTGAGTCTTCTTGTACAAAATGACTAATATGGAAATAGTTTACATAAAAATAAAAACTTGAATGGATCTTTGATCTCCTTCATTTGGAAGTTTCCTTCAGTGATACAGAGTGTTAAACATCTGGGCCTGCCCATCCTATAGGATTCTTGACTATGACCTTCCATAAATTTCCTATAGAGGTTCCACCTAATAGGCTGGAATCTTTTCTTTCTTTCATATCATTCATATCACCAGAGTGCCAGTGGAATACTTAGGCACTCCTCTTGTCACTTCTTGCCCTTGACACATAACCACACTCTTAAACAATTCCTAGATTACTCCCTTCTATTCTTGTTCTTCATTTCTTCATTCAGTATGTGTTACAGCCTGCTCATACCAATCAACCACATTACTGGTAATTTAAAGATAAAAAAGTTAAAATATAAAGACTTTATAATTGTCTGTATTTTAAGAATGAAGTTACTTTTAATATGGCTAAGACATTTTACAGTCACATTGCAAAACTTCAGGTTATTTTGTTAATATATGATGCAACTCCATGGCATTCAGGGTTTGTATTCCTCGCCCCTTATACTTATGTATGTATAAATTATTTGTTGCCTAAAAACAATTTATCTTTTCCATAGAGCGAGAAAGAAGAGTGAATGATAGCTTATCAGAACTGTTTGATCAAACAACACGTGAAGAATACGAATCCTATTTGGCAGATGGTTCTCCACTGTGTGAGCCAGAAGAAAATCACCAAGTAGAAGATGAAGAATTATCAGTTGCTGCAAAGAAACTAAACAGTAAGTGTGTTGATCCTTCAAAGTGTAGCTTGTCTTTTAATCAACTGTTCATGAAAATTGTAGAGGAACCTTCTTAGTCAAGAGTTGACCTTGTGCTAATTAAATGATCATTCTAATTAAAAGAGGCTTGTATAGTGGTTCATTTAGCTGTTGATTTCACTTTTCTTATTTGAATTGATTTTTAAAAGAAATTAATTAAAATTTCATGTCAAAACTAAATTAACAGTTATAGAGTAGGAAGGGGAATGGGGAAAGATTTAGAAAAAAGACAGACAAATAATTTAGACCTGTCTTCTCCCATTTCAGATACCGTTATTACTTGAAGTAATTAAGGGTACAGGTAGGCTTAGAATCTTTTTCAGGTGACATTTACATAGGTGGGGTAGGTGTTAAAGGGGGAATATTATACTTCAATGAAATTATAGCTGGTAGTTTGAATTGGAATTTTCTAAGGCTCTAATATGGATAACCAAGCTGAATCATTTACAGCTATTCAGACAAGACCTTTATTAAGTTATTCTGCCAAGAACAGTCAGAAAGTAATGTGAGTACTAATAGGATCATCTTTTTTAAAGGAAAGGTTCTTTCACAAGTCAGAGTTAATTACTAATTTATTTTGTAAAAGGATTTCTCTCCAAAACCAGACAAACATAATCACTGAGATGCATCCTAGCCCTTCTGCGAGCAAGAAGGCACCCATAGTAGGATAAGACTCAGACCTCACTTAACATAATTTTTCTAAATAATTGATTAAGAACATGCCTAAGTCCCAGTAATGTGTTTTGAAGACTGAAAGTAAATTCATTCCTAATTAAGGGGGGGCGGTGAGAGTAGGGGGAGAGAATGAAGAGGAGACAGAATTAAAGACATCTTAAAATTTAATCAGCAGGTGGCATATAATTTACAGGTAGACTGCATTTTGGAAGTTCATTTTTAAGTTTAGAACTCAAAACATTTTTCCCATAGAAATACAGAGCAGTTTTTAGACCATCCCACAAAAGCTTACATAGTTCATATTTCTATAGCGCAAAAAAATGAAAATAAGTCCACAGGCTTTGCAAACTTAATTATTTATAAATGTTTTCCTTAAAACAACACTATGACGTTCTGCGGCAGGCAGTTCAAGTGTTATTATCCTCATTTAACTGATGAGTGAAACCCAGAGATTGGTGAAGTGACTTCCAAGTTCACCTATCTAATAAGTTTGGGACCCCAGCCCAGAACTTTTCAGGGATTGGGACTGGCCTGATGATTTCAGTGATATAGGGAACTCCCAGAGGAGGAAATCCTCTCCCCCATTCCAGATTCACACCTGACACTTACTGTGGTAGAGAGCCACATGCCTGGTGTCAAATGCAGTAAGAAATGGGAGCCATTAAACTATACAGAAAGATTTCTAGGGGGTTATATATATAATATGGGGTTCCATATTAACATAGAAAAACCACATATTAACATTATCTGTACTTTATTGTGTTTTATTTACTTTGTTAAATATTTCCCAATTACATTTTCTGCTGGTTTGGGCTACCAGGCGTAAACCATGTGTTTGCAACTCTGGTCTAGAGCATTGAGAAGCAAAGTGGCTCATCCAGAGTCACAGACAGCATAGTGGAGAGGCAAAGCTGCACCATGCTGTTCCTCACAAGGCTTCTCATAGTAGTACAAAATAAGCTGACCACTGTGTGCATCTTTTTTTTTTTTTTATAGGCAAAGTCATTCAGAGTTTCTAACTTGAGCTGCTAGTAAAAACATCTTTAGTCTCTTTTAACCTGTCAAGCAAAGGGAATAGGGACCGTATCTCTGAGCCCCAACTGGTAACGACTTGGGCTTCACATTTGTATTGAAAATGCTTGCCTTAGGGGCAGCTGGATGGTACAGTGGGAGCACCGGCCCTGGAGTCAGGAGGACCTGAGTTCAAATGTGGCCTCAGACACATAACACCCGCCAGCTGTGTGACTCTGGGCAAATCACTTAACCCCGATTGCCTTACCAAAAAAAACAAACAAACAAGAAAATACCTTCCTTAGACATTTTTGCATGCATGTCATGGGCACAAATGGCCACTTGGTTTTATATAGATATAAAAAGGAAAACCTTAAGTTTGAACATTTGCCCAAAGATGTGGAATTCAGAAGTTATCTGACTTTTGCATTCACATAAAAATATATTTATAAGTTGCTGCAAAGCTGGAGGAATAAAAAATGTTAATATTTCAAACAAACAAGTACTTTAAGTGTTTGTAAGTACTTATGACCAGTTTCCTCATCATTTAAAATACATGGCTCTCTATGTCAGATTGCTATGCCATGGTGGGGGGGGGGGAGAGAAAAAAATTTGGAACTCAAAACCTTACAAAAGTGAATGGTGAAAACTATCTTTACCTATAATTGGAAAAAATGAAATACTATTAAGTGATGGGGGAAAAATAAGATATATAGCTCTCTATAGTAATAGTATAGGCATCTGGTAGATTTTAGTTAAACCTTATAAATTTCCTTATAAATAAATAAATGTAATACTTACGAAGCTTCTATGGGCTTCTCACTTTTCCTTTCAGGCTTTTGCCAGTGTCTTGGCCCTTTGTTTCAACATTTTTCCCATGGCCCACTGAAATGATGTTCATTTAAACCTTTTTTGAAAAAAAATTAAAACTTTTTGGAAGCTTTTGGCTTTTGTTATCGTGTGTGTGTGTGAGATTACAAACCTTTCTATATCAGTGATATAGGTACTACTAACAGGTACTATTGACAACCAGAAAGGTTTTTTGGGGTTTTTTTTGTCTTTTCCTTTTACCACTCTACTTCTGAAGAATGATCTACACTGAGTGCTGCCATTTCTTTATCATCTCTTTGCTTGGGGGGGGGGGTGTTGTTTTTGTTTGTTTGCCATATTGCCCTGCAGTCTGGCTTCTACCCATATTACTGACAAAACTATCTTCCTCAAGGTCACCAATGACCTTTTCTCTCTGTGGTTTTTAACAGTATAACTTTTTCTTTCCTGACTTATATGATACTCTACTTCTAGTACATTTCTGAAGAAATCAAGATGGAATGGTCAGAGCAAAGGACTTAGCTTCAGAACACGAGTTTGAGTACTACTGTCCCTGCCACTTATTAGTATGTCAGCCTTAGGCACGTCACCTCACCCAGCTCCAGATGTACTCTCTACAACGTAAGGGGAGTGCATTTGATTATCTCCAGGGTCCCTTTCAGCTGTAATGTACTATACTTCATGATTTTAGTCGTCCCTTTCTGGCTGCCTGGTTTCCTTCCCTTGCTGTATGTACATCGTACAGTGTAGGTTACTCCAAAGTTCAGTCCTTAGCCCTCTGCTCTTCTTTATGTTCAATCTGTTCTTAAAGCTGTTATAGTCATTAAACTTGACTTCTCCTCTGAGCTCTAGATGTGCCTACTGAACATTTTCACTTAAATATCCTCCTTCACCATGTTTCTCCTATTCAGTCTTTCCTTTCAATTCCTGTTTCTATAGGGATAGCTGTGCTAACATAGTTTAGTCTCCTGTTACCTTGTGCCAGAAATTAAGTTTCTTCACCTCTAGCCTCTGCTGCATTCTGTCTTATTATGTTCCACTGCCAGAATAGTCATATAGCTCAAAACTCAAAAACTGCCTAAAGAATAAAGTCCATACTCCTTAGACTGGCGTTCAAAGCCTTCTACCATCTAGTTCCTTTGACCCTTATCTCCCACTTTTACCTTACATATAAGTTCTTACCTTAGATAATCTTCATTTTTCTCTCCTCACTCCTGCCTCAGCATCATGTAATCTGCTTCCCTGTCTCTTTCATTTTGTTTGCCTTTTCCCCTTCTCTCTAGTTTTTTGTTTTTCATGGCCCAACTTAGTTACTACCCTTTATGAAACCTTCCTCAGCTTCCTCAGTCCATAGTGATATCCCTTCTGAATTCCCATTTCATTTACCAGCTGTATTCTTTTTTGCCTTTTTTTTTGGTGAGGCAATCGGGGTTAAGTGACTTGCCCAGGGTCACACAGCTAGTAAGTGTCAAGTGTCTGAGGCCAGATTTGAACCCATGTCCTCCTGACTTCAAGGCTGGAGCTCTATCCACTGTGCCACCTAGCTGCCCTACCAGCTGCATTCTTTACTTAGAATTGTGGAATTTTGGCATTAGAAAGGACCCTAAAGATAATTTAGTACAAAGTCCTTCATTATATATTGTATCATTAATATTTTTACTTTTTAAATTTATATGTCTTATCTACTAAATTAGTTGTACTCTTTGAGGATAAAGGCCTTATATTAGATCTCTTTGATTTCCCATGTCAAATGTAATGTCTTGAACATTAAAGATGCTCAGAGACTTTGTTAGTGATGATGATGGAGAGATATACTTTTTTTTTTTTTGGTTGAAAGATACACTTTTTAAGGAAGGGGTATGCTTTAATAGTAAGCTTTCAATTCAGGGTCCATGAGCTTTGATCTGTATTGTGTCAACTAATTTTTTCTCTGTGCCTGATGAAAGCATTAAATTTTCACCTTTTAAGAGGAATATGTCAGTTCTAGCATATCTTAAATGCCAGTTATAAACACTAATGGATTCAAAAGTGGGAAATAAAAGAGAGTGTTTCTTGTACTTCCAAATAGGTAATACTAGAAAATGATAATACTTTAAATTTACAGAGTTTTTGTTAAGGTTCTAAACCTTTCACACATACTTTCTGATTTTAGCCTCATGAGAGTACTGAGATAGGTACAAGCAGTAATAGTCCTATTTTGCAGGTGAAAAAGGAACTAAGCCATAGGAATTTTAATCCATTTGTACTTTACAGGAGGCCATGCCACCCATTCAGCTAGACAAATGGGAGGCAAAGGCCTGGGTTCAGATCCTGGCTCAGCTATTTAAGTACCTTCATGAGCTGGGAAAAGTCACTTCACATCTCTTGGCCTCATCTATAAAATGAACATATTGAACTCGATAGCATCATCCATCCCTTCTACTTCTATGAATTATATTAATTTCTTCTGATTTCTGCCATCAGTTTATGACATATGCATGAGTTGTTTTTTTGTTTTTTGGTTTATTTTGCAGGTCATGAAGATATACCTGACAAAGTCAAACAAAAAGCATTTGTGGAGCCTTATTTTAAGGATGATGAAAGGTAATTAATCTTGATGGACGTGGGTTATGTTAGAGAGTAATTGTAAGAATTGCAAAACTATCTCTGTTAGGAAGAAGGCTATTTTGAACTGCTAAAAGTCATATTTATAAAAGAAGAAAAGGGATATCATCAGAAAATATCAAAGTCATTTCATAACAGCAGCGGAGAAAAGGAAACAACTTTATAGGAGAGAAAGTTTATTACTTTTGGCCCAGACAGTAGTTCTCCATTTCATTATGGAACCAGACATCTTTTATTCAATTGTATTTCAGACTTGAAATACTGCTATTTGTAAGATTATCAAATTGTATGAAAATTGCCTGGTATTTTCTCCAGTAATGTAATCTTTCTGGATTTTAAATTTAACTTTTTAATCTTTAGTAACCAGATTGTATGCTCCGATCTCTATTCTATCTTTTGGTAAAAATTTAAAATTCTATTAATCCTTAGTCTATGCAGTTCATATAATCTATATGTTGAATCATACTTTCTTTCTGTCATCTTCATATATATACTTGAGAGGAAAAAAAAACAGTAAGCAAAGGATTCCAGTCCACTATGTTCTATAATTTCAGGAACTTAAAAGGGGTATGGCTACTATGTAATCCATGTGCTGGGTTGGGGCAAAGGGAGGCACGTGTTGCTGCTACCTCTGTACCTGAATATGCCAGCAAACCCCAGTTAAGGATGTCTTTCAAATAATCTTTCATTGGAGCCCAGGGTTCTTTCTGTAAGCCATCGCTGTGTGTTCCTTGAAAGAAATGAGTAAGACAATATAGTTCTAAGAGTTTTACATACTTTTGGACTGTACAACAACCTTCTGAGGCAGGTACTACAGGCATTATTATCCTTATTTTATAGATAAATGAACTAAGACTCAGCGGTCAAGGAACTTGCCTATAGTCACAACTAGTAGGGTCAGAAACGGAATTTGAACACAGATCTTCCTGATCCCAGCAACCTTTGTACTAAGGTCTGTCTGTGTTAGCTGTATTCCTTGATCTCCATTCCTCATTCTTAAACTGTTTTCAAGTATTTGGGATCTGGGACCTGGGGAAAAAAATACAGGAAAATCCTATGATGAAAGTAGAACAATTAGAAAATAGTTTTGAGAACAATGTTCTTACTTAATATGTGTATATTAGCCTAATTGTAGAATTAGATATTAGTACTTTATTTTTATGAAATAGATAACATATCTGAATTGTGTGAAAATTGACTGTAAATCAAATGATGTTTTTAATGCAATTGGGAATTCACTTTTTTTTTTTAATTGTGCAATTTTTTTTTTTTTTTTAGTGAGGCAGTTGGGGTTAAGTGACTTGCCCAGAGTCACACAGCTAGGAAGTATTATGTGTCTGAGGCTGGATTTGAACTTAGGTCCTCCTGACTCCAGGGCCAGTGCTCTATCAACTGTGCCACCCTAGCTGCCCTGGGAATTTACTTTTTGAAGCAAATAATTCTTCTGTAATGTGAAGCCACTCTGTCAGTGATCTTTTGATTTTCATATATTGGTTTCTTTAAGCAGGATACAGTTGTACCAATTATGCACACTTTTGTGTTTATGGATTGCTTTTCTTCCTCCAAAGTACTCCATTATTTGCTTCTTGTTTTGTGTACACTTCAGTGACTTTTATCCTTTCGTAGTGCTCCCCAAAGTGGAACACCTTTTTGCAGGAGAGGATATAAGATAAGTCTTTTGATATTTGAATTGTGTCATCTTAAAGAATTTAGAAGAAGGTAGTATTTCCTTCAGCAAAAAAAACATACAGGTAAGCCTTAAATTTGTATAGTTTGCATGGATACATTGCTTTAGACACAGCATTCTCTTCTTCAGCCATAATAGGGAACTCCAATCCCAGGTTTTATATTCCTTTTTTTAATAGTGAATGATTTTTCACCTTATATCCTAATTATTTGCTTCACTCAGAGGGATAAATAGGAAAGGAAAGCATCAGTATTGTCCTTTTTCATTATAGTACTAGGATACCTGGAAGAAGAAATGAATTCTTCCTTTCAAACAAAATGAGCAAATAAAAGGAGTATCTGGATTTTACTAGGATTGTCTTATTTTGTTATTCTCGTTTGTCAAAGGTTGTCTGAACAAATCAGATTATATATATATATATATATATATATACATATATATATATGACATTTTGCAAACCATAAAGAGCTATTAAAAATGTCCATTATTAATTTTGATGTTTTCCCAAACTAAGATGTTTGTAGTGAGTATTATGATTGTAAGTCCCGTCTCTTTTTTTTTCTTTCAGAAAAACCATATTGCAAAATTTCCCTCACATTGAGGTGGTACGGAAAAAAGAAGAGAGGAGAAAATTGCTTGGACACACATGTAAAGAATGTGAAATTGTAAGTAATCCTCTGACATTTCTGTTCACTGCTCTGTTGTTTTTAATACTGTTGTTTTACTTTTTCTCTACCGTTTGCCCAAAAAAAGTATTGATCCTAGTCATATTTGCGCCAGGAAAAGTTCTAGCCTAGTTTAAGAATTATGGAAGCAACTAAATACTGAAGAAAGAAAAATAAACTACTTGAGACAGTGTGCTGCAGTGACAAGTGGATGGAAACCCAGTCTCTAAGCCCTCACATGCAGTGAATCTGGAAACTAAAACCTTATTTCTTGTTACTGAGAATAAGAAATGTGTACCCATTTTTACTTCAAATATAATTATTTTAACCCATGTTTTCTCTTACTTGGTACTTCAGTGGCTCCTTAATATTTTGGAAAAAGGTTGATGGATGACTTTCTCTTTATCATCTTTTTCTCTTAGAGCTAAAAGGGACCTCAGAGATAAATCTCACTCCCCCAATTTTTAGTGGAATTTAAAAATATAAATTATTTTACAGTTAACAAATATTTATTTTCTCTTCCTCCAAACTTCTCCCCATTTGAAAAAGTCCTCATTTTACAGATGAAGAAACTAAGGTCCAGAGAGTTTCTGTGATTTATCCAGGGACACATAGCTAGTAAGTTATGTGAGACAGGATTTAAACCCAATTCTTCCTGAAATGTATATTTAAATCTTACTGAGTCCTGATAGGGAATTTTATCTCATGAATCATCACTTTCATCAAGTTAGTAACCCATTTGTTTATCCTTTCACACTGAAGAATAGTGCTCTGTGGCCAAAAGAGTCCCATATCAGAGCCAGGAGAGAACTAACTAGTTGGATGATCTCAGGCAGTTGTATTTGTCACTTTCAATCTCAATATCCTCATTTCTACATTGAGGATAACAACACCTGTTCATACTGCGGTGGTCCAGTTCAAGAATCTAAGTAATAATATATTTTACCAACCTTAAAGGAGGTATCATCTTACTATGGGAAAATTCAATACAATAAGTATTTATTAAGCTCCTTCAATGTGCCAGGCAATGAAGAAGAGAAGGATGCCAAAGGCATAGGAAAAAAAAATTGGACATTTTAATGCAAAAAAAAGTTGCCAAGAGACATAAAAAGTTAGCAACATCATTTGCCTCCTCTCCCATCTATACACAATCTATATGAGAGTCATCCTTACATGATTTGAGGAAACTTAATGAAGGTTTGAGTATGGAACATGGTCCCAGTTTGCTGGGCATTTGCCATGCATTGCTTAATCGACAAGCTTGTTAGGTTGAACCTTTGTTTCCTCAGTCATTTCATATTTCACTCACCAGAGAAGGCAAGCAACAAATATCAGTTATGCAAAGTACCATATACATAGTAGGCGTTATAGAAATCCTTATTCTTATTCCCTATCCAATACAGAGAGGTTTGGATTGAGACATGTATATTTCTGTATATAGCTGTTGAGGGAATTTATTTTACTTGACTGTGTATTTGTTACAAGAAATTTGTTTTTCTTTTCAGTGGGAGGGAGAGAATATAGGTTTCTGTTAATTTTTTTTTTTTAAATAGAGAGGAGAGAGGGATGCTACAGAAGTGAACTATTACATGTACTTTCAGATGAGGTCAATTATTAGTTTCACTTGACTTTTTTTATCTGGTTACAAGAGACCTCTTAAGAAACAGGAGTAATCCGTAAATGTTTGAAATGTAAAAATAAGCAAATCAATAAAACTTTTATTTAAAAGGCATTATTAGGAACAAAAGTGATGATGAAGTGAAATAATAGTTTGTAAAAGTGCATTGCCATTTTGAATGCCACATCAGCTTATTTGGGATTGATTTGACTCTTCTTTTAAACCTTTATCAATAAGAGGTTGCTGTCTTTTAACTGTCTAGCACCAATTCAGTTTGGCATATAGTTCAGCACCTTCATTGAAAGCCCATTTTTGCACCCCATTTGTTTTTGTTAACTTGGCTAGCTTAGAAAGTATCATTATCAAAGGATTTTCTTTATCTTCGTTGTTGAGACATTTTTTCCCTCACAGCCTGTTTCTGTACAATATTAAACAGTTCATATAAATATGACCTTATATTCAATTCTTTATTTTCTCATGGCTTGAGTCAGAACAAAGATTTAATGTAGACTTCTAGACATCCCTGTTTTGAAACATATTCATTGTTCTCTAGAGGGATCTCGGTAACATCCAATACAGCTGGCTGATCCCATCAACAGACTACACATAATTGGATTGTGGAGGAGTTGGGGTTCAATTTCTTTCCATCTTTGTAGTGTCTTTTCTTTCGTCAACCTGTAGTAGAGAATTTGGATATGTGTCACAAAGGTTTTTAAAATTCCACAACTTTATAATAGCTAAGATATAGACAGTCAGTAAACATTTTAAAGCATACTATGTGCCAGGCACTGTAGTACATACTGGGAGGACAAAAGACAGTTCCCATCCACAAGAAGCTCACAATCTAATTTGTTCTGTTGTATCTGACTCTCTGTGACCCCATTTGGGGTTTTCTTGGCAGAGATAATGAAGTGGTTTGCCCTTTTCCTTTTTCAGCTCATTACGGATGAGGAAACTGAGGCAAATGGGGTTAAGTAACATGCCCAGGGTCACAGAGCTAGTAAGCATCTGAGGTCAGATATGAACTCAGGAAGACGAGTCTTTCTGACTGCAGACCCCAGAATTCAATCCACTACACCATCTAACTGCCCCACCATCTAATAGGGGAAGACAACATGCATACTACTTACATGCATACTACAACATGCAACTACTTACAAACAAGATCTATACAGGAGAAAGAGTAATATAAATGAATTAAACTCCTCCAGCTTAAAGAGACTTAGTCTTTTAAGTCCTTTTGTTAAGGTTGTCAGCATTTCATCTTAATCTTAAAGAATATATTTGAGCTACTCTTCATCACTTTCCCAAGTACTTAAAATTTGTAGAATTGACTAGGTAAGTTCATGGCAAACTTCAGTATCCCACTTTCTCTACAATACTATATACAATAATACAATACATTCCATTTGATTTTTCCTTTTATGTCACCATAGTTGGTGTCCTATAATTTTTTTTCTCCTGAACATTGAGTAAAGTTGTATTAAAATCTGAAAGTTAAGAGGTTTGTTTTCTAGTCCTGCCTCTGATTTTCACATTTGTAAAATGAGAGGCCTGAAATAAATGATTTCTAAGGCCCTTTACCACCATAAATTTTTTTTGGCCAAATGTATTCTTCAAACTACCAAAATAATTAAGATCTTTTGATGTGAATTTTGAGTGTTTTACTTATGGTTTTCATATATACACATATATGAGAAGCTCATTATCATTGCAGTTTGTCAAAAATAGAGTTTATTTGTCATTGAAAGCTATATAGCTTTTGGGGAAAGGCACAGTAACTGCAAACATTCAACCCTAAAAGTGAACAATTTTAAAAATAACATTAAAGAACACAAATCACTGAAAGTGTTGTACTAATGTTGATTTCCTGTACCAAGAAACTATTCACCCTTCAAACATTCTGTTTACATACCTGACAGGCGCCATATTTGTCTTTGACTCTGTAATGCCCACTTTAGGAGTGGGGAAAAAACTTGCTAATCTTTATTATTAGTATTATGCAGATATTCCAGAAGAAGAAAGAGAAAAGAAACTAGCCTCCTGTTCAAGACATCGTTTCCGCTATATTCCTCCTAACACACCTGAAAATTTCTGGGAAGTTGGGTTTCCTTCAACTCAAACTTGTGTGGACAGAGGTGAGAATATAGCATGATCACTTGCTTCCATGCTTCAAAAATCTGTGATTTCACCAATGTAAATATATCCTTTTCTCTGTTGTTGTGGTTTAGTTGCGGCTGACTCTTTGTGGCCCCATTTTTGGGGTCTGCTTGCCAAAGATACTGGAGTGATTTGCCATTTCCTTCTCCAGCTCATTTTATAGATGAAGAAACTGAGGCAAACAGAGATAACTGACTTGCTCAGGGTCACACAGCTAGTAAGTGTCTGAGGACAGATTTGAACTCAGGAACATGTCTTCCTAACTCTGTGCCTGGCACTCTATCCACTATTCCACTCAATGCCCTCCGCTAAAATTCAGTTACAACCCTTCCATACATTAGTAGTTTCAAAAGTTTCCGTGGCCAAAAAAAAAAAAATCATGTGGTGCCAGTCTTTCAGTGATGAACCTTTCAACTTAGCTAGGTTTTTCTCCTGAACATGGTTATCTCTAGGCCCATTCTTGAAGCCTTTCCAGCTTGGACAAGATTGTCAACTTTTTATCTGCTAGTACAGCCTTTGTAAAAACAGTCCCCTCCTGCAGTAGTAAGGCATTGGAATAGGATGTTAGTAGAGGAAGAGAATGTCTGGGAGTTAACATAGTTTTATGTATTCAGTGTAGTTAGCTGCAATTCAAATCAAGTGCAACTTTTCCAACGTAGTCTGCAGTGATTTTGAAACCGGGACTTTGTTCCAAATTGCTGAGGTTAAAGGCCTTCTGCACTGGTATTTTATAAACTTTAGTGTAATTTCATTATGGCCAGCAGCATAAATGTTTTGGATAAATTTAATTAAATATATATCCTACTCTTTAATCAAATTTATAGAGAAATGGGTTGGGTTTTTTTTTTTTTAAGTTTTAGTATGTAGAGAGTTACTTTTTCCATAAACAAGTGAATGTAGGATTTGAAATCTTTGATTCATATCTTAGGCCTATCACTTAGTAACTGTGTTTCCTTTGATAAATCACTTAACTTCTGTAGGCTTTAGTTTTCTCATCTGTAAAATAAGGGGATTGGACTGGATGAACTCTGATGGCCCTTTTAATTCTCTCTATTTATATATAGCTCAGCTTATAAGAGCTTTGTCCACAAAGCAGTAAAATAAAATTGAGCAAAAACCATCAACTTGGCTTAATATACTGGTTAACAGACTTAAGATCTTGAAAGTCTTCTCAATCCCATCATCAGTTTAATGGAATGATTCTTTGTTTGAGTTTGTAAAGTAGGACCCTGGCTATATTCTTTTCCAAGACAGAATAACCACTCGTTGAAGACCATGTACCAAGTCTGAGATGTCTGAAGAATCCTGAGGTACAAAATCCTTTCCACTTACTAAGCTATTAGAATTTGCCTATGAATAAAGAATAAGGAAAAAGAGCCAAACCCTTCCATACATTTGTTTGATAAATGACTATACAAATATTCCTTTAATGTCAGAGAGAGTAAGAGACAAACTGAGCTACAGACTGGCTAGGGAAGGGCATGCAAAGAACTAGGAGCCAACTAGAAAAGCTAAAATAGATCTGTCTAGAAAGTTAGGCAGTAGGGGCAGCTAGGTGGCACAATGAATAGAGCATCGGCCCCGAAGGACCTGAGTTCAAATCCGGCCCCAGACCAAACACTTGACACTTACTAGCTGTGTGACCCTTCACCCCAATTGCCTTAAAAAAAAAAAAAAGACGAAAGTTAAGCAGTAGAGAGAAAAACAGGAAAAGCTAAAGGGGAGAAACCTTAAGGAAACAAAGGTAATTTGAGTAAGTTCTAAGTAGTTTTATTTCATCAGGTCTAGCCCTTTTCTGTGGCTGCAGGTATTATAAGTTACTACTTATATTACATATATCTTTTATCACATATACTTTATAAATTCTAGTTAATTTTTCAATGATTAGCTGCTATTCATAATTCTTTATTTGTCCATATCATCTCCTTTTTTACAAGATAAAGGCATAGCCTCCTTCTCCCAAGGAGAAAATTATTCTCTGGGCATCATGGCCAGAGTGGTATCATCACCTTATGTGGTATTTACCACAGTATAATCAGAGGTCCTGAATTCCATTCTGGGAACCACATTTTAGAAAGGATATCAGCGACTGGTAGAAGGTGAACCGAATGTTGATTGAGGTGACGTGAAACCAGGTCATAACAAATATAAATTGAAAAAACCAGGTTTGTTTATCCTAGAGAAAAAAAGATTTCAAAAAGATATAGAGGTAGTTTCCATATGTTTTAAGGACCTTTATTAATCAGTAAGTGCTTTATTATAGACCACGATGCTGGGGATACAAGTACAAAGAATGAAACAATCCCTACTCTCAAGGAGTTTACATGTAGAAGGATTAAATTTATTTTGCTTGTTCCTTGAGTAAACAGGTGACTTGTTGAGAGGTGATTGTAATGAAAAAATTCCTATCAATTAGAATGAGCATCCTCAGAGGAAAGTGTTGGGATTCCCATCACTGGAGTTTTCAGAGAGAAGCCGAATGGATATTGTAGAGGGGGATTAGTGTTTGATTAATTAGGACGTGGACTAGATGACTCTCAAGTCTTTTCGATTCTGAGATTATTTGACTCTGATAATAAAGTCAGGCCAAGCACCTGGCCTAGCCCATGAACCAGAGGTTCCCTACTACTGGTCTAGGTATTTCATTGATGTTTTTGTGTTTGGTTGTTGTGTGGCTCTTTCTGCTTATTCTTCATTCATAGGCAAATTCAAATAGCTTTAATAAGTGGAAAGGATTTTGTACCTCAGAATTCTTTAGACATCTAAGACTTGGTACATGGTCTTCAAGAGTTTCTATGGCTGAAAAAATGTGTAACTCAGTCAACCTGGTGATATGCTTCTCTGAATTTAAGCTGGTTCTCAGGTAACAGACATACATTGTCACCAGGCCCATTTTCAAAGCCTTTCCAACTTGTTTCAAGACCTACCAGAATTTCCATTTCATAGGTGGAGCCTCAGAAAAACCAAGGCCACCACTTCTATATCAAGATTAGACCCAATAAAATATACTTCAGAATGTCAGTGTTAAAAGAAATGTTTATGAACTAAATTGCTATAGGAAACATAAAATGCAAATAACGTAAGGTATTAGTAGCATGTACCTTTCTTAGCAATGAATTATTTTTTTAAAGTCCTGATTTTTTTTTGTTGTTGTTCTCTTTTTTCTAAGGGTACATTAAGGAAGATCTTGATCCTTGTCCGCGGCCCAAAAGGCGGCAGCCTTACAATGCAATGTTTTCTCCGAAAGGCAAAGAACAAAAGACATAGATATTGAAGAACTTGCAAAAGGTGCCAGAACAAAATTCCTCGTTTATTTATAGTTAAAGTTGGAATTTAAAACTGATTTCTTCCCCTCTCAAATCTGCTATAACCTGATTTATATATCATTTAAATACAATATATCAGGAAATATTTAAAATAATTTTGAGTACATTTATTGTGCTTATGCATTTTTCTTAATTTTGCACCTTTGAAACAATGAGGTGCTTCCATTTTGCACTGTGTAACTTAAAGGGGTAGATTTTATCCTTTGTTTTTTGTAATACCTAAATTTAATAAAAAAAAATTGTGATAGAGATTTCATTATCAATTTGCATTTTTCCAAAATAGCCTTTTTTAAAGGTTTTGTTTCAAGTTTTCTGTGTGCATCCCTATTTTCAGTTTCAATTTGGAATTACACAGAGCGCCTGGCACATAGTAATTGCTTAATAAATGCATATTTTCTTCCTTCCTATCAGAGTTATGCACAAGCCAAGCTAGGACTGGATAGGCAACCCTTACATTCAGATAATTGGCTTATAGTTTTTTTTTTTTAAGATTTGAGGATGGGGGGGGTGTGAGAGGGCAGTAACCACAGGTAATTATGAGAAATAAGATTAGACCCATCAGATGGAGTCTTTAATAGAATAAAAGAACATGCTTAGAAATAGGCCCTAGATTTGCAACTCTGACTCAAGATTCACTAGACTATGTACATACCTTTTGACCCAGTGATACTTACACTGGTTCTTTATCACGAAGAGATCACAGTGTGAGGGAAAAGACTCAAGTAACAAAAAAGCAACATCAAAAAAACACATAGCAGCTCTTTTTGTGGTAGCAAAAAACCGGAAACCAAGAGAGCATCAGTCATTTGAGAAATGACTAAGCAAGTTGTGTAACATACATAGAATGGTGGTGTACCATGAAAAATGAGTAAGATGTTTCCAGAGAAAACTGGAACAACTCATCTGCATGAACTGATGTAGAGTGAAATTAATAGAACCAGAACAATTATACAATAACATTATAAAGACAAATTAATTTGAAGGGTTTAAATTTTTTTTCTTTTTTTATTTAATTTATTTTGATTTATCAACAATCACTTCCATATGCTTTTGAGTTTAAAATTTTTCTCCCCCTTCCTCCCCACCACCCTCCCCAAGACGGTACACAATCTGATATAGGCTCTACATATACATTCCTATTAAACATGTTTTCACATTAGTGATGTTGTAAGTAAGAATTAGAACCAATAGGAGGAACCACCAGAAACAGGAAACAAAACTCAACAGAAGAAAAAAAAATAGCAAACAGTATGGTTTGATCTGCATTCAAACTCCATAGTTCTTTCTTTGTGGATAGCATTTTCCATCACGAGTCCTTTGGAGATGTTTTAGATCCTTGTATTGCTGGGAAGGGTTAGGTTTATCAATATTAGTCATCGCACAACGTGGCTGTTATTGTGTACAACATTCTCTTGGTTCTGCTCACTTCACTCAGCATCAGAGCATACAAATCTTTCCAAGTTTTTCTGAAGTCAGCCTGTTCATCATTTCTTATAGCACAATAGTATTCGATTACATTCATATACCACAACTTGTTCAGCCATTCCCCAATTGATGGGCATCCTCTTAATTTCCAATTCTTTGCCACCACAAAAAGAATTGCTATAAATATTTTTGTACATGTGGGTCCTTTTCCCATTTGTATGATCTCTTTGGGATATAACCCTAGAAGTGCTGTTGCTGAGTCAAAGGGTATGCCCATTTTTATAGCCCTTTGGGTATAGTTCCAAATTGCTCTCCAAAATGGTGGATCATTTTACAACTCCATCAACAATGCATTAGTGTTCCAATTTTCCCACATCTTCTCCAACATTTATCCTTTTCCTGTTTTGTCATGTTGGCCAATATGATAGGTATGATGTGGTACCTCAGAGTTGTTTTGATTTGCATTTCTCTAATCAGTAGTGATTTAGAGCATTTTTTCATATGGCTATAGATGGCTTTAATTTCTTCATCTGAGAACTGCCTGCTCATATCTGTTGACCATTTATCAATTGGGGAATGACTTGTATTCTTATAAATTTGACTTAATTCTCTATATATCTTAGAAATGAGGCCCTTACCAAAGAGACTGGTTGTAAAAATTCTTTCCCAATTTTCTACTGAAGGGTTTAAAAATTGATCGATGCAGTAACCAACCATGATTCCAGAGGAACCATGATGACACACAATACTCACCTCCTGGACCCAGGATACAGATTGAGTTACATATCTTTTGAATATGATGAAATGACAATTTGTTTTGCTTGCACATATTTGTTACAAGGGTTTTGGTTACACACAAACACACACACATCCATGGGGGAGGGAGAGAAAATAGATTTTTTTTTTTTTGTGAGGCAATCAGGGTTAAGTGACTTGCCCGGAGTCACACAACTAGTAAGTGTTATGTGTCTGAGGCCAGATTTGAACTCAGGTCATCCTGACTCCAAGGCTGGAGCTCTATACACTGTACCACCTAGCTGCCCCTTGAGAAAATAGATTTTTAATTGAAAAAATAGAACTACATTTTTAAAAAATAAGATATTACCATCATAAGAAATGAGGAAATGGACAATATGAGAGAAATCTGGGAAGATTTGTATGAACTGATGCAGAGCAAAGTGTGCAGAACTAAAAGAACAATATAAGTAGCAGCAACATAAAAAAAAAACAACTTTGAAAGACTTGAGAATTCTTATCAGTGTAATGACAAACTACTTCCAGAGGACCAAAAAAAATGAAGCATGACAGAAGTGATGGACTCATTGTGGAAGGAGACACACATTTTGGGTACCGCCAGTGAAGGAATTTACTTTGCACATATTTTAGACTCACCCTAGCAGCAAAACTGCTCTCCAGTTCCAGTCCATCTCCATTCTTACCCTAAGAAGAAATATGACCCTCAAGACTTTAGCAACTTAGCCTCCCTTCCCTAACAAAAGCTAGTCCCAGCCTGTGAGAAGATAGGTATTCTAACAAAAAGTTGATAGAGCTATGAAATCCAACTGTTTCCATTTCAGTTTGGAACTATACAAAAATAAGACCATACCACTTGACCCAGTAATCCCCAACTACTGGACCTGTACCTCTAAGTAAAGAGAGAAACAAGCATACAATATGCCAAAATATCCATAGCAGTATTTTGGTAGGAAAGAACTTGGACCATAGTGGTTACCCAGGAATTACATATGTTTGTATGTCTGTGTGTAGAAAACTTTTGCAGTGAGAAGTAATGAACATTAAGAATTCAGAGGGGCAGCTAGGTGGTGCAGTGGATGCTTCACTGGGCTGGGCTTGAGGGAAGTGGCACTGAAACCCCACAGGAGTCTATACTGTTTGCTTAGAGTGTTCTCAGGGTAGATACCCAGGTTAATGGACTTGATATATCCCACTGCACGTTGACTCAGATAAACTTTGCAGCCCAGTCTTGGGTGTGTTCCCATCAAAAACGGGTTGGGGGTAGGAAGAGACAGAAATTAAGTGACAGGGAATAAAAAAAATTCAAGAGAAAAAAAAATTCAATAAAAGGTCACTGCACAAACAGATAAATAAACAGAAGGAAAGGTGAATTCTAAATACTCAGAGAGAATACACAGAGAGTATTTGCAAGAGAAAGTGAGAACCAATGTGTCGTGAAATGCAGAATCCTGTGGACTCCCAAGAGAGCATATAACCATGACAAGAAACTCCAGAATGTTTCAAGAGACTATTGAAAACCATAAAAGAAGGAATTAGGAATTACTATAGGACAGAACAGAACATAACTCTCAATGCAGGATTTTAAAGCTTAATTAACTAATTAGAAAACAATGTACAATAGAAAGTTTCTGAAGAGGTGTTGAGAGATTTACAGATTCAGAACACACACACATACGCACTGAAATGGAGGGAATTCTGACAAAAAAGAAGCAAAAGCCAACAATGTTTAAAAAAACAAACCATGGATTCTATAAAAGCTGAAGTGATTGATTTTAAAGATAGGATGAGCAGAGCCAATTTAAGAATCATAGGTCTTTCAAAATGACAAAACAAAAACCATGAGCACTACAATGTGGGAAACACAAGAAAAATAACCAGAACTTACTGTATAGTATGGGAAGGTGAGGACACCAAGAGATTCCAGATATTGCCTCCAGAAAAACAAACAACAAAAAAAAAGATATCAAGAACCCTAATGAGGTAACAACCTGATGCCTGACTCACTTAAGTAAGATCTACAAAACAATCATAGAAAAGGAAACTCAGAATAGATACCTTAGAAGTTTTCATTTCTTGTGGAATTCCGGAACGAAGGAAGAAATAAATGTAAGGGCCATGAATCAGAATAAAAGTCTAGGATAGACAAAGGGAAGTAAAATAATGAAGACAATAAGGCAAAGAATCCTTTTTAGTGTGAAAGTGAAAAATTGCTACCCCAACTTTATTTTGTATTATTAATTGAGAATTGTATCCAACACTGGAATCATACTTATGGATCAAATTTAAATTTGATCGTATAGATCGTAGTAGTAGTAGCAGAGCTTGTACAACTTTAACTTTGCTATTCCTCTGGGTGACAGCCTGGACTCAAATCTCTCACCCTAGAAAAGGGTAGAATAAAAATGGGATACTGTGGGAGGATCTAAACAGAAATTTACAGTATGAGAGTGTAGGAGGTGTCTGTCTTAAATGTATTTTTGCTTATCTATGCCAGCAAGTGTTTCCAAGTGTTTTGTTCCATGTCCTGATAACTCAACCTAGCTTTTTCCTTTGGTCTGATCAACTAACGGAAAAAGACTGTAACAAGTGAAACTTTCAAAAGTCTTCAAAAAAGACAAGTCTCTCTTTTCTCTAAATTTCCAACTGACCAAATTGAACATTGCAGAGATGAAAAACAGATTAAAAAAAAAAAGAACAATTACAGACTAAATTTTTGATTTACATTTTTTTCTCTACTGAAAATTTTAAATTATTATTTGAATGTTTTTATAAGTACTTTGATGAATCTTTGATATACTAGTTTGTAGAGATTGTTTAAATAGGGATAAAACTTTGTAAAGTTTGATGAATATAAATTTTGGAAGATTGGGTTACCTCACAAAAAGGAGGAATTTTAGGATGACTTGAGGCTGCTTTTAAAATTGCAGTTTGAATTTTAAGAACTGTTTTATTAGCCATGAAATCTGTTCAATAGAGATTGAGTAAAATTCAGAGAAATGTCTTCTTCTTGATAAGAAGAACTCAGGAAAACAATACAGAAGAAATT